TTACTGAAGTGACCATGAGCATATAGCAGAGGAGGAATGTAAGTCTGTACGGCATACGGACCTGGCCTGCTGGAAGCAGTGCTGTAGGTTTGTACACCGTACGGACCTAGCAGTGAAACGGTTAATACAAGAAAGTATTTTGCTAGCTATAGAAACTGCAGCTTGGCATTGTGTGCTATTATTACATATTTGATCTACCAGAACCCCCAGATCCTTCTCCACCATTGATTCCCCCAGTTGTACCCCCCCTAGTATGTATGATGCATGCATATTCTTAGCCCCCAAGTGCAGAACCTTACATTTTTCAACATTAAACCTCATTTGCCACATAGTTGCCCAATTACACAGAGCATTGAGGTTGGCTTGTAAATTGGAGACATCTTGTAAGGACATTATTCCACTGCACAGCTTGGTGTCATCTGCAGAGACTGAAATGGGATTTTTAATCCCAGACCCTATATTGTTTATAAATATATTAAAAAGTAAGGGTCCCAACACTGAACCTTGGGGTACACCACTGACTACCCTAGACCATTCAGAGTATGAATCATTAACCACTACTCTTTGAATACGATCTTTTAGCCAGTTTTCTATCCATTTACATACAGATTTTTCCAAGCCCGTAGATTTTACCTTACACATTAGCCGTGTGTGGGGAACTGTGTCAAATGCTTTTGCAAAATCCAAGTATACCATGTCCACCACCACCCCTCTGTCCAAGTATACCACGTCCTCCGCCACCTCTCTGTCCAAGGTTTTGCACACCCCCTCATAAAAAGAAATCAGATTTGTTTGACAACTTCTGTCTTTCATGAATCCATGCTGTTTCTTAAAATATTTTTTTCCAGCAAGAACTCATCTATGTGGTCTTTTATTAAACTCTCTGGTATCTTCCCAACTATAGAAGTTAAACTTACAGGTCTGTAGTTACTTTGTAAAGACTTTGATCCTTTTTTAAATATAGGCACCAATCTAGCTGTAAATATCCCTTTGACTACAGGGTCACTTGTTAACCCCTTTATAGCTGGGAGGCAGCTTAGCTTGGCACTCACAGTGTTCACATGATCAGGATCCCATCCTCATGTCTCCTGATCAGAAGTTATATTCCTCTGTCAGTGTGGAGGGAGCATGCAGTGAGCGCACTTTTAGCACACAACCTCGGGCCACTGTGGACACATGTGTAGCAGTTGGGTATTAGGGCCCACTTGATCTGCCCAGCATATATTTGTTTTGCAGTCAGAAAGGTAGGCCTGTAGCAAAAGAAAAGTAAGCGCAGGGTTGACATGACTAGGGGAATAGAGGGACAACAAAGGGTTAAATTATGGTGAGGAAGTTTTGGGGATTAATGCTTACCTTATTGAATGGGGGATGTTGGGGAGGGTCTCCCAGAGAGGAAAAATCTGTCCTCAGGAAGTCCAGTGGGGGAAGTTTGGAAGAAATTCATGCTGGTTTGGATTGTCTTTGGGGGAGGAAAGAATTCTGTATGGAGACAGATTCGGGACCCATCAGTGGTATGGGGATGTCAGTACATTCCGGTTAACAAGGGGTTAACTTGGAATAGGTAAAATGGTGGTCACTGCGGATAAGTAGGGTTATCCCCGAGCCAGTGTGTTGCGGCTGGGGATAAGTAGGATTAGTTGAAGGAATGTTTTCTGCAAAAGTGAAGTTGGGTTTTTGGCCCTCAAATGACCACCACGTTTTCCTCTGTTTATAATTTGGAATGTTATGTTATTTATGTTGAAATTATTTATTGGTTAATAAAAGGCTGCTATGGCCATTTTGACTCCAAAAACTTGGTTTGTGTATTTTGTATAGCTGGGATGGTGGAGGGTTGGCCTAGCAGGCTTGGTTAGGTTGGAAGGCATATATTCTACCCTTGTCAAGAGGATGTGGCCTGCTCCTGGGGCCTGGGATATTCACATCACATACTCCAGGAGGCATCATACAGCACTGAAGGATGGACCTAGCTGCTGCATGAACCCAGGAGGGACAGCAGGCTCCGGATGACATAAGGAAATAAGATAGCAGCACTGGACCAGGCATGTGGCTGCTGAAGATCGTAGGACAACAAAGCTGGAATTGCTGAGTGATTACATATCTTGTGTGGACATCCCACTGAAACAAGTGAAAGAGAATTAAAATGGAAAACACATGGGTGGGTGAATTTACACTTTAAGCTCCAGACATATTACTTATCAGTCTGCTGTAGGCAGGAGGAAGCATTGCCCCAGTCTCCATTACCTCCGGAATCACTCAAACTGTACATTGTAACTTTAGTAGCAGGTCAGGAGGTGAAAACAGGAAAAATATGCTAACCCTGGATTAAAGACACAGAGGGTTTTAGCATTCTGGAAAGAAATGCAAATACGTAGTATGTACTGTCAAAAGGATTGCCGTGATTTCTGTTTAAGGTGATACTTATCTTTAAATGTTATTCTCACATATTGCGTATGCATCTAACATGAAAAAAAATATTATGCTAGATCTATTTTAGCATCTAAAACTGTCCCATTGTAATGTTACTATCGGATTGCTACAAAGGAAAAAGACCTCAACCCCTATTTACCAAAGTGCTCTCTGCCAGGTGCACGCCTGCAGCCGACAATGTTGCTATCAAGGGGCCTTTCAGCACTGATCACTGCAAGTGCTTGTAGGTTGTAACAGAGTCAGCGCATAGTCAAATGGAGACAAAAAGACTACAACTTAGTTACACCTAGTAAAAGCAATTACAAGGTCACACTCCTTTACATACATTGAAGTTATTGAAGCAAACCTGAAAGTAACACAAAAAAAGTTTTTTTTTAAAGTCTTAATTACGGATTAACCTTTTTGTAATAATAATTCACTGCTTGCCATATATATATATATATTTCATTTTTTTTTTTTGCTTTTAAAGCATCCACATGAAACATATTTTATGGTTTTGTTCACTCATTTTGTGTTAGAAATTAGTCCTCATGCACACTGGACATTTTTACATAGTTGCATAGTTAGTGTGGCTGAAAAAAGACAAAATTCCATCCAGTTCAATCATTAAGAAAAACAAGTTATAATCCTATACCCACAGTTGATCCAGAGAAAGGCAAAAAACCCAGCAAAACATGTCCAATTTGCTCCTGCAGGGAAAAAAATTCCTTCCTGATCCTCCGAGAGGCAATCGGATGTTTCCTGGATCAACTTTACCTATAATTGTTAGTATCCAGTTATATTCTCTGTATCCAAGTAAGAATCCAAGCATTTTTTTAAAGCAATCCACTGAGCTGGCCAGAACCAACTCCTGGGGGAGTCTATTCCACATCTTCACAGCTCTCACTGTCACTTTCCGTGTTTGGAGATTAAATTTCTTTTCCTCCAGACGTAAAGAGTGTCCCCTTGTCCTCTGTGATGACCTCAGGGTGAATAACTCTACACCGAGTTCACTATATGAACCACTTAAGTATTTATACATGTTGATCAGGGGTGGACTGACAATTCATGGGGCCCCCGGGCAATAGGGGATCATGGGGCCCCTGTGTCCTTGCCCAAACTCAAAAAAGCCTATGAAAAAGGTACCAGGGGCATCTCATGAGGCCCCATACTGACCCCGGGAGTTTCCAAATGGTCAGTCCACCCCTGCACTGATATATTTATACATGTTGATCATATCCCCCCTTAATCTCCTCTTCTCAAGAGAGAATAAATTCAGTTCCTCTAATCTTTCCTCATAGCTGAGCTCCTTCATGCCTCTTATCAGTTTAGTTGCCCTTCTCTGTATTCTCTCCAGTTCCCCAATGTTCTTTTTGTGAATTGGTGCCCAAAACTGAACTGCATATTCCAGATGAGGTGTTACTAATGATTTGCACAGGACTAATATGATATCTCTCTTTCTGGATTCACAGTGGCTGTTTTTGGCTTTTGAAGTTTTTTTCTACAGCCAGTAAACTCCCCAGCATGTTATCCTATGTGTCCATGCACACACAGACTGTAATTAATGTTTTTTGGCAGGGGCGTTTATTGGCTGGAAAAAAACCAAGAACTAGTGGGTTTCTAGAGGAGTTTTAGCTGTAAAAATCCTCTAATGCTGAAAAATGCAGCAAAACACGGTAAATCGCGGTAAACCAGTGTTTTTGGATTTGTTTGGACCAAAAAATGTATTTTTTGGTAAAAAAAAACCTCTAAAAAATGCTAAAAACCGCAAACGCGAAAAAACGCGGCAAAATGCCACTAAACGCTAATACAAAAACACTAAAAAATGCTGAAAAACTCACGTTTGTAATGTGACTTTACACAGATAATGTTACCAGTGTAATTAAAACGCCCAGTGTGCATGGAGCCTAAGAAAAAAGCCCCATTTTCAAAAATGTGTAAATTTAAATATATTTGTACATAACTTTGCTGCAATTCATGTACAAAACCTTGTCTTATAGTGGCACATTGACATGCCCACTGGTCAAATATGCATAATCTGTTTCTTCATTTACTTTAATCTTTATTCTTGGAAGACAGTGCTGTGTTACCAGAAAAAGGCCTTACAGTGGGGGGGGAGTTGATGGACCATGCATGGTTTGGTATCGGGAGGCACTGTCTCTTTGTCCTGAATAGGCAGGTGATGAGGTTTCTTTAGAACTGGTTAACACCAGATGCAGTCCAGTGTGTTTTTTCTGCATCAAAAATGCATGCACAGAGTTTTCCATGTATTTCAATGGCCATAGTTCACACCAGTGCAGTTAGTTCCAGTCAGTTTCCAGTGCTGAAAAAAATAAAGTAGAACTTGTTGCATTTTTTTCTGCACAGAACTGTACTGGAACACAGCAAAATGCATCAAAAATGTACCAGAGTGTGGTGAGAACAGTAAGCAAAACGCATCTGGAACACATCTGAAGTGTGTTTTTGTGGTGTGAACTAGCCCTTAACCGCCTCCCGCCCGCCATATAGTCCAATGACGGATGCAAGGCGGTTCTCTCATTCTGGGAGGACATCATATGACATCCTCCCATTCTCAGCGCACATGCGCGGCTCCAGGAGCGCGCAGCACGGTGATCGGCGGTGCGCTGTGTCCCTCGGACACAGCGGATCACCGATCCACGGAAAGAGCCGAAGATGTCGGCTCAGTCATGTGATCAGCTGTGTCCAATCACAGCTGATCGCATGTAAACAGGGAAATGCCGGTTATCGGCATTTCTCTCCTCTCGAGCTGTCACGCTGACAACTCGAGAGGAGAGGAAAGCTGGTAATCGGCATTCCTTGGAGGGGACATGTGCACTGATCATCAGGGCACTGATGATCATTGTGCCCTGATGATCAGTGTAGCCCCAGAAGTGCCACCTGTCAGTGTCCATCAGTGCCAGCTCTCAGTGCTCATCCATGCCACCTGCCAGTGCCCATCAGTGCCACATCAATGCCACATATCAGTGCCTACCACTGCACATCAGTGCCCATCTAAGCTGTTTTTCAGTGTCACCCATCAGTGCCAGTCAGTGCCACCTATCAATGCCAATCAGTGCCACCTAACAGTGCCAGTCAGTGCCACCTAACAGTGCCAGTCAGTGCCGCCCATCAGTGCCATATATCAGTGCTGCCGTTCAGTGCCTATCAGTGATGCCTGTCAATGCCCATCAGTGCCACCTAACAGTGCCTCCTCATCAGTGACCATCAGTACCGCCTATCAGTGTCCATCAGTGCAGCCTATCAGTGCCCAACACTGCAGCCTCATTAGCGCACATCAGTGAAGGAGAAAAATCACTTATTTACAAAATTTTATAACAAAAACTAAGAAATTTTTTTTTTTCAAAATTTTCAGTGGTTTTTGGTTTGTTTAAGAAAAAATAAAAAACCCAGAGTTGATTAAATATCACCAAATAAAGCTCTATCTGTCACAAAAAAATGCTAAAAATTTCATATGGGTACAGTGTTGCATGACCGCACAATTGTCATTCAAAGTGTGACAACACTGAAAGCTGGAAATTGGCCTGGGCAGGAAAGGGGTATCAGTGCCCTGTAGGCTAGTGGTGACAGTAGTATTAACTCTTTTGCTGCCACAGACATGCTACAACAGCTGGAATTTTGTTTGTTTCATCTTTCAGAGGAAAGTGATGAGGCAGCTCTACAGACCCGATATCTCAATAAAGAGAACCTGTCACAACGTTTTATCACATATGGGATATCTGAGCCTATCCTGCTCCCATGTACACGCACATAAAAATTCACTTTGGCGATGTCTACGTATAAAAACTTTGCTTGTGCTTGGGACAAACATAGATCTATACTCTATATCTAGATCTATATAAAAAATGTATAAATAAAAAAATGGGGCAGATTCGATGGACCACTTAGTCTTTTTTCTGCCATCAGTCTTCTATTTTTCTATGTTGAGCTCTCTCACATTAAGAGATTTTGTGTATCGTATGGTTAGTCAGATTGGATGGTTTGTGAGAAGAAGAGTTGTAATATTACTGTTTAGCTGTGTGTAATGAAAAGCTTTACTGTACCAGCCTTCAATGTAGTACTGGTACGTGAAAAATGTATTGGGATTCTTGGCATTCAAAGAGATACAGTGGGAGAGAGCAGGCAAGCAGGGGGAAGGTGAGATGGAATCAGAAAAGAAGGAGGATAAAAGGGAATATTAACCATATATAAAAAGCAGAACATACCTTGAACAGTACTGATAAATATTGGAGTTGCTTCTCTCAAAAATGTGAAATAGGAGGATTCTATTCGGTGATTAGAGAATATAACTATTGTGTGGAGGGGTGAGTGTCATACAATGTCCTCTGTATATTTAGCCTGCCCGAGGGTGTAATTTGCTGTAACTATCTCGAGGGGGGGCAAGGTAGGGGCACATGTGTGTCATGGTTTGAATCAGGACAAGATTTGTACATTCTTGGTAGTTTATTTATGAAAAGTAGGAGTCATGGACCAGGACTCAAAGAATTAGCCGTAGGTATAGTGTGAATAGGGTACTCATTTGAGGAAAGCTGTGGTTGTTGAAGAATCACAGAATGCAAATTTGAAATGTCTGAAGTGTATGGAATGGATTGACCATGTTGATGACAAATTAAGGTACCAGTTTGCATCCTGACTTGAGGTCAGTTAGATGTTAGTAATAGATAAGATCTTGGTTACAACTCATCATCACAATTATTGATAACTAGAGTAAAACTAATTAAAACATTTATCTAATAGACAGGTTGCTGGTAAGGACCTTTTTTTTGTTAGTAGTAGATGTACCAGTTTTTAGACAGAGATGCAAATAGGCAGTAATGAACATTCAGTATACTGTACATTTTATTACATAAACAATTGTTGGTAACTTATTTTTTTACAAAGTAACAGGTCCCCTAAACTAGCATTGTAGACAGACTTCTAAACCAGAAGGGAGGCTGACAGAAGACATGAGGTTTTATTTTCTCAAAAGAAGTAAACATCTTCTGATCTTGAAAGGGAGGGTGGTTCTGAAGAAAGGTTCTATGGCTGAGTGGGATGGGAGACGAGTGAGCATACTTATGGAGAAAGGCAAAGTGTTTTTTATAGTAGAGCGGAGGGATAGTTAGCCATGCCAGGAGTTTAGTTTTTAAGTGTGTAAGTCCATGGAGGTACAAGTGGGTTCCAGACAGGACTTAAAGGATAAGTTCCCCTTTTAAACATAAGTAATACATGCACATTTTTTAGCAGGTAAAAAAAAAATGTGAATTTACTATTTATTTTTTTAGGAGCTTGGAAAGCATTGCACCAGTGATCAGCAGATTGTTGGTGCCATGCAGGACTCCTGCAGACTGTCAGTGTAAGCTGTATGCCCCTACATCATACAGGCAGGCAGTTTCACACTGACAGGAAAAATTAATGAAATACCAGAGCACTCAACATTGAGAACTGCAATCCGACTGCCACAAAGGATGTCAGTACTGAAGTTGATTAATTCACTTAAAATAAAAAGTGACAGCTGGTATGGGGATCTTCTTCCCGTACTGCTGTCACAGGGAGAGGGGGGATCAGCGAGTGGCTGCAGTAGTGGGAACATGTTACATGTTTCACCCTAAAAACAGGTGGAACTTGTAACATGTTCTCAAAGATAAACTTATCCTTTAAATGGTGGTCCATTCCTTCAAAAGCATCTAGCAAAATTGGATTCTCAGGAACACTTGAGTTTAGGGGTCCTTTTTGGGACAAAAGCTAGACGATGCTCAGAAAAGCCTAGAATTTACAAGTGATACTAAACACACACTGCTTAATGTACACGATCCATTCTCTTTCTGTATGTGAATGATGGCACTGTAATTATTTTAATTGAAAGAAAAAAAAAAAATCTACTTACCTTTTTCCAGCTGTCATATGACCCAGCCTGTCTGCGGGGAAACATAAGCAGGAGGAGCTTCTAGTCCTCTGTTACTGGTCAAAAAAAAAAAACAGCCTTTGGGATACAGCATAAAAAATAAATAATAATTATTTATAAACTGTTATAAATTGCCATACAAATATATACAGTATTTGAAATCAAATCTTTATTATTTCTTGGTAATACTCAGATGTGATAGGGAGGAAATGCTCACAAGAGAATCTCACTGAAAACTGAGCATGTGCCCTAGCTGCTACCACTGCTCTGCAAAATCCCCAACTGAACTGGGGACATGATCAAAAGGAAGAGATAGAGAACAGAAGGAAGCAAGATCAGTCAGGATTTTTGCAGAATACAGAAAACAATTCCCATAGTGATTATGAACAGGATGTAATACATAATTTATTGATAGTTTTTAATTATGTGAGTTTAGTGACACTTACAGGCCTTTGGGTAAGGAGTAAGGAGATACTGTGGAACTGCCAGGTCTGTGGGCGTCACCATATGGATCGTTGTGTCAGAAAGCAACCCTGTAGATGGCTATGGGTGAAAATGCTAGGATAGGGTTGAAGACCTGTGTTAAAGCAGTGGGCTCACTAGATTTGGCCAATAAAGAGAGCTGCTTGGAAGTTAGGACTGAGGTAAGAGTGTTCGGCCTTTTGTACTGGCAAGGTAGGTGGAACATACTCAGTAACTATCTTTGTGATGGTTGAGAGTATGCAGAAGTCAAGGAAAGGCTGCCAATCTTGGTCTGATCCTCAGGTCTGCTCCATAACTGTGGTGGGATGCTGGACTGGTGGCTTATGATCTGAGCAGGACAAGTTGTGAGCTGATGCCATCTTGGTAGGGCCTTTGCCTGCAGCATCAAAGAAGGTCTTGATGTTTGAGTGAGCTGCTGGCAGTGGGTGAGATTGTGTAGGGGGTTATATGACCTTTGTTTTTCCCCATTTTATGCAGGATAGCTGCTGATGTGCCAGTAAAACTGCAGGCGTACAAAGGTCTGACAAGATGTGTGTGCTTTCTGCTACATCAGGACACCCCTCTTCCCAACCCAGAAATATTCAGGGCTCATTAGATTTTATATAATTTACAAACCAAATAATCCATAATCTGACTTCTACTGGTGATTTTACAATAATGTTTTTTGTTTTGGAACCATGCCGTGTCCTCTTCATCAGGCACACTGCATGATGAAGGGAGCCCAATGTGGCCATGAAACATTGAACATTTCTTCTACTTTACAATAAAATCAGATTAAAATACATTTTGGCATGCTCGTGATATGCAATCTATTGTTTAACATTTATAGCTCCACCCATGTATATCACCCTCACTACTCATTTTAGGTCATTAGTATGGTTTGTTGTTCAATTGGGACAATCGTTATTCACATTCACATTCAGGACCCATTAACACTTTGCATACTGCATAAAATGAATTTCAGTTTCAAATCCCATTGAGTACTAGGTGACTATCTCACATCCTCAATTGAAATCAATCAAAACACACGGCAACGCTAGCTGTAGTGTGCATATTCTGCACATCCCTAAATGTTGTTGGTTTTGCCAATACAAGTAACGTTTTCTGTACTTGTTTATATGGGTTAGTATGGTGGCATCTGTTTTCCTATGGAATTGCATTGTCTCTGTTGTCATTCATCCACCATCTTAACTCAGGCAAGTGAGATGTTGGCAAGATGGACTTTACCTTCATCACACATCAAGGCATGTCATGCAGCACCCCGATGCATGTTGAAACATCAAGGAAATGCATTGCAATGCACATCAATGTGTTTTGGCAAACATTTTGATGTGTTTCTGTTGCTTTCAACAGGATGGGAAACACATCAGGCAAAAACGTACGTTTGAATAGGTGCTGCATGTTTCCTCGTCACTCATTGTATATAAACCAATAAATAGTTAATTTAAAACACATTACAGGCAGTTTTAAATATACATTTAAAATAAACCAGCCACAAAGGAGTTTCTACATGAAACTAATTTTTATACAGTACAATGCATGTGTTTTACTGCAGGTAAATGAAAGAACAAGTACAAATAGACCTACAGTATACTGTATATCTGTAAGCTGTCTCATCTGATAAAGCATTAGTGGCTTCAGACTGCTATAGGTACCCATCTTATATTACCATTACAGCTATTGTATTTATTAATGGCATACAAAGCAATATCTACCTCCACAAGTCACTCAACTCTTTAAAGAGACCTTGGCCCGGAACCTGTTATGCTGATCTTACTTGCCGCTCCTTCCACCATTGCAGCTGACACT